AGCGGCTGACAGCGGGAGGGAGGGAGTGCAGTCAGCCAGCCAGCCCGTCCGCCCACTACCACCATCCACCACACACTAGTGGGCTGGCTCACGTGCGTACAGCTCTCAGTGAGTCTTGTGCCCTCCCTCCCTCCGTTCTCTCTCTCTCTCTCTCTTCCTGTCTCATTTGATGCCTACCTTCTCTCTCTCTCTCTCGCCCTCTCTTTGTTCACAACTCTAATATATGAAGATGAAGAAGGTGAATAAGAAATAATAAGATTTGCAGAAAAGAATAAAGTAATAAGATGGACGAAAGAGAAGAAGAAGAATGGAAGAAAGAGAGAGAGAGAGAGAGAGAGAGAGAGAGAGACAGTAGATGAATGGGCGGGTCGCAGGAGTTGACAATCATCTCTGATGGAAATTTAATAAAACTTTTGAGAGAGCGACAGAGTGGAATGACGTCACTTGGACATATTCTTCCGTGGACGAAATTGACAAAATTTCGTGGACAAAATAGACAAAATCCCTAAAGGCAAAATGGCGAGGAAGATGAAAAAATAAGAAGAAGAAGAAGAAGAAGAAGAAGACGAAGAAGAAAAACAGATGAGATAAGCATTGATCAAAGAAATAGTATTGTAGCTAAAAGTGACAACAACATAACAGAGAATGAATTAGGAAAAGAAAGAAGGAAGGAAGGAGGAGGAATTTGTGCTGGGATCAGAAACGGAAGAGAATTTATGGATGGAGTGCTTGGTTATGGAAGAGAAGCAAGAATATACCCAGAGTGAAAAAGAAGATTTTATTGTTGTTTATTTCATTTGGGGAAAATCTTGTAAACAACAACAACTTGAAAAATGTAATAAAATGTTTGAGATAATTTGAAAAGTATTGTTGAATAGTGTACACAAGTTTTATTGAAAATGTGTAGTGTAATGTAGTGTAGTATAGTGTAGTGTAGTATGTGTGTGTGTGTGTGTAGTGTAGTGTAGTGTAGTGCAGTGTAGAGTAGTGTAGTGTAGAGTAGTGTAGTGTAGTGGTTGTGTGTGTGTGTGTGTGTGTATGTAGTGTAGTGTAGTGTAGTGTAGTGTAGTGTAGTGTAGTGCAGTGTAGAGTAGTGTGTGTGTTCGTGCGATATCTCTGTCCTAATCATTTCATTTACAATTTGTGGGCGTGCCTGATAAGGTAGATAAATGGTCTGTGTCTGTGTGTGTGTGTGTGTCAGTCTACCGTCAACAGACACCTGCATCACCCGTGCCCAGTGAGAATAACATCTGTGGGAATAAGTTTGACAGGTGTGTTGTAACGTTAATTTGTACACCTGTAAATTGGTTGAAGTTGGTGAAGTAAAACAGATCACCTGAAGCTTACACTGCCCAGCTTATTTCACCTGATGATTGATCACCCTAATACTACCTGGGGAATTAGGGTAGCTTAGGTTAGGTGGGTTAGGTTAAGTTGGATTGGGTTAGGATTAGTTAGGATAGGTTAGGTTAGACTAATTTATCCAACAAAATCATACCAACAGCACCTCCCCGTGATGTGGCTGGGTGCACCGTGGGCGTGGGTGTGGGCGGCGGTGTGGGCGTGTATTTGGATACTGGGCACCTCCTCCCCAATGCCCCAAGACCTGGCAGTGGGTGTGGGTGCCAAGGAGTGCCACCATAACGTAGCCACTCTGTACTGTGACTACAAGGGCACTGACGAGGTATCTCTCTCTCTCTCTCTCTCTCTCTCTCTCTCGGTACTAGCAGGTGCAATAGTAATAGTAATAGAAATGACAATGTAATGGAAGTATTATTTACTAGTTGTAGTAGTAGTAGTAGTAGTAGTAGTAGTAGTAGTAGTAGTAGTAGTAGTAGTAGTAGTAGTAATATTGTCTTCATCAACAGACTGTGGTGTTGAGGGGGGCGGTGGACGACAGTATAGAGAAAGTGTTTGTGGTGAACGCTCGTCGACTCCGTGTGAGTGAGGACGTGTGTGTCAACGTGATGGTGATCAGCGTCGCTCAAGTCCTGGTGGAGAGAGCCCCTGACCCTGCCTTCGCTCCCTGCCACACCCACCTAGAACTATCCGCCAGGAATTCCTCCCTGGATAGACTCCCTGGTCATGTAAATCGTGTCTTCCTGGAGGACACCAATGTGACCCAGTTTATAACAACAGCGGAAATTCAACAACTCACAGTGATCAATTCCGTCATTAAGGTGGTGGAGGTATCGGCGCCTCTAATGGCTGGTATTTATGCTGTTTTTCTCTCCAGTAACATTAGCACCCTCAGGAGGCTTCATGTAAACAAAGATTCCCTCCTCGAGTTTCAGAAGAGCCACATCTCTGAGGTGGCTGTAGGAGGGTTGGTGATACAGGAAGGCGGGGAGGTGGTCGTGCAGGACACCACCACCACCAGTGTGAACGAGGAGAGTAGTGTTGTCGTGTTGGGTGATGGAGGGTCACTGAGCCTCAAGAACTACACTGGCAGCCTCAAGGTGACCAGCACGACCTTCTCCACCACTCTACAACCAAACCAGAAACTCCTGCACGAGGCACTCAGTAACTGTGAGGCCTCCGTCATCACCATCACTTACTATAAACAATATGTGACTTGTCTGGTGTTGCTGCTACTTGTGCTTCTCTCAGCAATCTCAGGAGCGGTGCTTTATGTCCTGAGAAAGGAACGGAACTCTTCACATGACTCCAGTAACTCTGAGGCTAACAAAATAATGCCTCATGACCCAGTGGGTGACACAGTGAGTAACCCAGACAGCCCTGACGACGCCCAGATGCCAATGTTACGTCGAGTCTCTGAGGACGAGAGCCAACACCCACACCACCCTGAAGAAGTCACTCGAGAATTATGTTCCTCAATGCAAGAACACAAAATATCTCTCCAACTTAAACTGAAAGACCTTGAAGAACAATGTCAAGCTAAACTGAAGACTCTTGAAGATAAGAGAAATAAGAGACTACATGAAGAGTCGCTGATCAACAATGAGTTACTAGATCTTGAAGAAAAATATTGCAACGAGGAAAATAAACAAAATCCTAACTTGGATATCACAATACAGTTACTGGGAGCTTTAAAAGATAACAAAGAAGTCAAGCAGAAGATTTATACTGTGGAATATGAAGAAGAAAAACAAGAAATAGCATATAAAGACAAAATAAAGAAAGGGAATAAAGAGTTTATGAAGCAACTGGCCGATAGCGTTCATACAGCACTGACAAGATGGCTGGACTCTCGCGGATCTGCCGTAACAAACACGCAGTCGTTGGATCTAGAGGCTTTTGAGAACCTGTTCCACCACATCATCAAAACACTACAGGAAGAAATCACACAGAAAACCTACACCTCAGAATCTAAAGACGAATTACAGAAATACATAAAACACGACCAGATACAAAACACGAAAGAACAACAGGATAAAATAACCAACGAAATAAACACGAATTACCAAAGGGAAATGATCGATTTACATAACAAAACACCAACTAAACAGAGATTCAAAGACACACATAAACTTAGAGTCATTTACGATATCAAAACAGAATTGCTTAAATCATCCCAAAGCCTGGAGCATAAAGTTCTTCAAAGTGTTCACTCAGAGAACAAATTAGAGCTGTATTATCTGGACACCACGACACAGTTACTGAAACATAACATTAATGAACTAGAGAACATGTTTTTATTTGGTATTTATATTCTTCAGTTCTATGATAGGATGAAGAACAGAATCATTGTTGGTGCTGACGAAAACGCTGACGTAACTGATAAGACGCTGACGCCACCATCCTCCTCCCATAATGACACTACCATCCTTCCATGATGACTGAACCCCTTGAGTACGATGACTTAACCCCTTGAGTACGATGACTTAACCCCTTGAGTACGATGACTTAACCCCTTGAGTACGATGACTTAACCCCTTGAGTATGCTGACTTAACCCGTTGAATATGATGATAACCCCTTGAATATGATGACTTAACCCGTTGAGTACGATGACTTAACCCCTTGAGTATGCTGACTTAACCCCTTGAGTATGATGATAACCCCTTGAGTACGATGATTTAACCCCTTGAGTATGATGACTTAACCCGTTGAGTACGATGACTTAACCCCTTGAGTACGATGACTTAACCCCTTCAGTACGATGACTTAACCCCTTGAGTATGCTGACTTAACCCGTTGAATATGATGATAACCCCTTGAGTACGATGATTTAACCCGTTGAGTACGATGACTTAACCCCTTGAGTATGGTGATAACCCCTTGAGTACGATGATTTAACCCCTTGAGTATGATGACTTAACCCGTTGAGTACGATGACTTAACCCCTTGAGTATGATGACTTAACCCGTTGAGTACGGTGACTTAACCCCTTGAGTACGATGATTTATCCCGTTGAGTATGATGACAACCCCTTGAGTGCGATGATTTAACCCCTTGAGTACGATGATTTAACCCCTTGAGTACGATTATTTAACCCTTTCAGTATGATAATTTAAATCAACGTACTCATAAGATTAATTGACTTACTTAACTAACTTAGTACTCAAGAGATTATGTGCTTTCTTATAATCGTACTCAAGAAGATAATTTCCTATAATCCGAGCTAACAAACACAGTCCTTAACATTATAGGGAACACGTGATAATTTGTTTACAGTTTGTTTATCGCTTGTGAGGAATAAATGCTGCACAGGAGAGTTTGTTTACTATGCCTGATAAACAAGTGTCTTCTTAGCCCAAGTTCCTTATCATTTACTTATAATAAATAAATAATAAACAAAGAAATTACAGAAGGAAAAATATTGGAACTTGGGTTAAAATTTCTGCCTAATTTTCTATATTGTGTTTAGCTAAAAAGAATACATTTTATATAAATTAAATTAAATCTTTACACGAGTTATTGTACAGTTTTATATAGTTGGTGTTTATATGCATGATATTATAGATTATAGGATAAAAATACTGAGTCTTTAGAAAAAAATATTATATAATTTTATGTATATATAAATTGTATACATTTATCGAATAGTGGAATATATAGAACGCCTGGTCATTACTCCTGAGGTTATTGAGCCCTAACCTAAACTAACCTAAACTAACCTAACCTAAACTAAACTAAACTAACCTAACCATCTTTATCATCCTCACTTCCTGCACTTAATCGTCTGGCAAACTCCACCTGCTGCCTCTTCCTGTACTTGACCCAGGCTTCATTGTCATGCTTACTGTATTTGAGGCGACCGTCCCAGGCTAACTGAACGAAGCCTCCGCGGTGAGCTATGAGGGCCTTGACTCTGTTGGTGAGGGAAGGGAGGTGGCTGTTAGTTGAGGCGTATTCTCTCTGTCTGTGCGTGTGTGTCTGTCTATCTATCTGTCTGTGTCTGTCTGTCTATCAACTATGTGTCTCAATATACTGAAGCTTCTTCTGTCTATTAACTGTTTTTATTAACTGTGTCTGTCTATTAACTGAGTCGTCGTCTCTCTGTCTATCTATTAACTGAGTCGTCGTCTCTCTGTCTATCTATTAACTGTCTGTTTTGTAATATGTATGTGTCTGTTTCTCTGTTTGTCTATATAATTAGTTCGTGAATATCCTAGTACAACACACACACACACACACACACACACACACACACACACACACACACACACACACACACTCACCTGTTAGCAAAGGCGACAGGTGACTCATTAGTGCCTCTGGTCATGGGCGGGAGGTACCACACGTCACACACGATGGCCCACGACGTCATCATACTGAAGATGTACTCTACGAAGGTGTCTTGGTACCAGAAGGCGTCACCGTAGCGAGGGTCAAACCGGATGGCGATGGGGTAGATGATAGTGTCGATCTGGGGGGAAGGCGGGGGTGTAATTTGTTGTTTGTCGGAATAAGTTGTCATGCCATGATTGTGGACCAGCTGGCTAACGACTCGTTGGCTGGTTCAAGCAGCAATTACTGACGTCAATCAACGTCACAGCGCGTCATAACGGTGTGACTGAGGTGAGCTCTCAGTCGCGAACCATCACCCCGGCGAGTCGGACTCCTGGCTGGCCCTGTCAACACTTTCTGCCGTGAGCTGTGTGTGCTGTGGGAGTCCTGCTGTGAGCTGTGTGTGCTGTGGGAGTCCTGCTGTGAGCTGTGTGTGCTGTGGGAGTCCTGCCGTGAGCTGTGTGTGCTGTGGGAGTCCTGCCGTGAGCTGTGTGTGCTGTGGGAGTCCTGCTGTGAGCTGTGTGTGCTGTGGGAGTCCTGCTGTGAGCTGTGTGTGCTGTGGGAGTCCTGCCGTGAGCTGTGTGTGCTGCGGGAGTCCTGCCGTGAGCTGTGTGTGCTGTGGGAGTCCTACTGTGAGCTGTGTGTGCTGTGGGAGTCCTGCTGTGAGCTGTGTGTGCTGTGAGAGTCCAGTGTGGCCACGCGTCGTGGAAGTGCTGCCGTGTGCCATACCAGTGTTGTGTGTTTTAATAATTAAATAGTTTAGTCCACCCTTACACGTTGTTAATACCAACCCTATTATTCTATTGGAAATAACATAACATAAGTGTTGAAGCGTTAGGAAAAAATCTAATATAAGCATCACCCTGAACGCGACCTTCTTCAGCTTGTAAATACAGTATTACCTCGAACGCGCCCTTCTTGAACTGTAGCACGACGGTGTTGTTGTTACAGATGCCTTCAGGATATATAAGGATCGGCGGCTTGGTGCTGTCCTGAGCGTGATCGTGGATCCTACACAAGGTAAGAGATTTTATATTAAGATGTATCCTATATAGAAGGATTCATTTTTATTTTTGATATATAAGAAATCTCTTGTGATCCTAGACAGACACACTTACATCTTGGTGACCTTAGCTCTCTCGTGTGCTTCTGTCCTGTCGAACCAGATGTGGTGTGAGGACTTAGCCAGAGCCATCATAAATATACCCAGGATGCCTCTTGACTTCTGGCCGACCTGAAGAAGAAAGATGGATGAGTGTGTGTGTGTGTGTGTGTGTCACTGGTTCATGCACCTATCTACCACCACCACCGCTCACAGGACCTACCATATCATAACACTGGTCGGTGGCTAAGACCATAGAGTCGATGGGTGAAGTGTGGTTGGCTACAGCTATCCCGTGAGTCGGTCGGTTCTCTGTATCGTGGAACCTGTCGGGATAAATTCTAGGTATTATTGAAATAATTCTTGTTCCGCAACCTCACACTCGTTAAATGTCCCGAGGGATTTCGTGTTGGGAAAATTTGTCCAGTGGAATTTTGTCCAACAGGCGACATAAACGTGATAGTGGTATCATATAAACAAGTTTATCTCAAAGACAGACACATCCCCTCGCCACCATAAAGAGGGACAAGACATTGCCTGGCCACCACGGAGAGGGATCCGGCCACGAAGTCGAAGCACCACATGACGACTCTGGCGTTAAGGCGTCGCTTGAAGTCGCTGGTGGGGAAGAGACCGACAGCGGCACACATCACCACCAGAGTACTAAGACTGAGGACCAACAGGAGGACTCGAACTGGCATCAGGAACACCCACCGAACCACGAACCCGAGTGCCCAGAAAACGGTCAGGGAGGGACTCAGCCGAAGGTAACGCTCCCTCCCTGTCCTGTGGTAGTGAGGAAGATGAGTTTGTTATGAAATGTAGATAAGAGTTGACTATTATATTCACAGTTCCAAAATAATATGGTAGATCGTTCCCAGACCCACACACAAACACACTGTTACACACGCACGCACACACATACACACTGTTACAAACGCACGCACACACGTACACACTGCCATACACACACACACACACGCACACACACACAAGGAGTCACTTGACTCATCTTTTAAATAGCCACACTCACCTGGAGGATAATTAAAGGTGTACTGAACCCCCACACTCACCTCGAGGATAATTAAAGGTGTACTGAACCCTCACACTCACCTGGAGGATAATTAAAGGTGTACTGAACCCTCACACTCACCTCGAGGATAATTAAAGGTGTACTGAACCCTCACACTCACCTGGAGGATAATTAAAGGTGTGCTGAACCCCCACACTCACCTGGAGGATAATTAAAGGTGTGCTGAACCCTCACACTCACCTGGAGGATAATTAAAGGTGTGCTGAACCCCCACACTCACCTGGAGGAAAATTAAAGGTGTGCTGAACCCTCACACTCACCTGGAGGGTAATTAAAGGTGTGCTGAACCCCCACACTCACCTGGAGGATAATTAAAGGTGTGCTGAACCCCCACACTCACCTGGAGGATAATTAAAGGTGTGCTGAACCCCCACTCCCCTGGAGGTATAATTAAAGGTGTGCTGAACCCCCCACACTCACCTGGAGGATAATTAAAGGTGTGCTGAACCCTCACACTCACCTGGAGGATAATTAAAGGTGTGCTGAACCCTCACACTCACCTGGAGGATAAAAGGTGTGCTGAACCCTCACACTCACCTGGAGGGTAATTAAAGGTGTGCTGAACCCCCACACTCACCTGGAGGATAATTAAAGGTGTGCTGAACCCTCACACTCACCTGGAGGATAATTAAAGGTGTGCTGAACCCCCACACTCCCCTGGAGGGTAATTAAAGGTGTGCTGAACCCTCACACTCACCTGGACATCATGTTCCAGGTGCGTAGCTCGGCAGGGGTGAAACTCTGACTCACACAGTCCTGGACGACGGCTCTCATGCCCGCCGCCATGTACGCCATCGGGTCCTGGAACCTGAAGGAGCCGCTGGGGGAGTCCACACCACCTGCCCGTGGCGCCTCAGGGCAGATCACCACACTGGGGACAGCAAGGACACGGTGAGAGAGAGAGAGAATTTTACTTTTCTTCCATTCTCAGTCATATTGTAAAGTGACTCAAAATTGTGTATACCTCTACACACACACACACACACACACACGACAAAAGTACCGTAGAAAGCAACTCTGCAACTCTTCGTCCTCGAGGTAAATAAACAACCAGAAAAATATCCTCACCTCTCATCTTCTCCCTCCTCCTCCTCTACTCACCCATCCTCCTCTTCCTCCCCCTCTTCCTCCTCCTCTAGCTGCACCTCCTCCGCCAGCTCGACGGCAGCAAACTGGAAGACACGATCCAGCACCTCCACATATTTCCTCCTCAGGCTCAGTCGTCGCCCCACCGTCGCCACCAAGAGGAAACACACAAACACCACCACCTGTCCCCAGATGACGTAAGGCCGTAGTTCCTCCCACACCTGTTTGGAGTCGAGGTTCTTCCACACCTGCAGGTATTCCCAGCTAGCAGGCGTGGGACTCCCAGCCATCATTCCTGCCACCTGGAAGAGTGATTGTAAGATCCTGAGAGACTGTTATGGTTGACGAATATTATTATTATTATTATTATTATTATTATTATTATTATTATTATTATTATTATTATTATTATTATTATTATTATTTATTTATTTATTTATTTATTTATTTATTTATTTATTTATTTATTTATTTATTTATTTATTTATTTATTTATTTATTTATTTATTTATTTATTTATTTATTGTTATTGTTATTATTATAACGTTTTCTTCTTTTCTAACAGTAGTATAACACAGTAATGGGGAGAACATAATATCTCTACCTTTACCAACTGTGTATCTGTTGAGGTGACTGTTAGTGTGTATAACAGTTACTTGTGAAACTGTCATATGTGTAATAACCTTCCTGGGTTGTCACCACTTGTAACAATCACTTGAGAAGCACGTTACCTTATATTTTAGACATACTAAAATATAAATCAAAGTTTAGTGCATCTTCTGTAGTGAAATCCAATGTGTTCCTTTTCTGTGTTTATTATAAAAGGTTTCTATGTACACTTTTAGAAAGGATTATCACCGTAACTTAATCACTGTAGTTATGAGTGTTAAATGAGGACGGAGGCTATGTTATATAGCTCTTCTAAAATACGTCCTGTTGGTGTGAGGGGCTGAGTAAGAGTGCCTGTCACACCCATCGAGGGAGAACGGTAATATATCCGACGTCCTCCCTCGAGGGAAGACGGAACCATCCACGATGGCTCTCAATAACGTCTTCCTCTAGTCAGGGTTATCAAACTACTGCCCGCAATAGGTGGCCAGAGAACCGGCTACTCAAAGCCTTAACTCAGCACTAAGTGACGCGACTTCCCGTGGGCACACCTTAACACGTGCTCTGAACATGCCACCTCATAGCTAGTGGAAAGTTACAGAGGGTGATAGAGTATATGAGTCTAATGTAATTAACCCATTTATATAATACTTCTGCCTATAAGACAGAGGCTATTACATTATTATTATTATTACACTGGTCAACATAAAAAAAATTCTCATGGTTCTGGATCAAAACAGTCTGATTCTAGTGTAATTGTATGTGCTGAACTCAATTATGACATTCGTATAGCTGTATCAGGCTCAGTTTTCCAGAACCAGCATATCTATATATTTAGTGTACCATGCTATTCATACAGTAATTTATATGCTCATTGGCTCCACTTATGCAATTATTTTGTCCTGATTTGTGCTTTTTTGTTTGTTTCAGTTTGCTGATTCATGATATTGCATATCTACACCTGCATGATTTGTAATTACTCTGAAATTAACAAAACATGGAACGTCGCAAGTGTGTGAACGGTGCTGACAGTTTTTGCTACATATGTGGTGCCTTCACTCTTGGTAGCCTCAAGAAACCAATCACAAAAGCTGTTCGACTGAACTACAAACGTTACTTCAAATGTCATTTGGGTGACCAAGACAAGAAATGGGCACCTCATGTAGCCTGTAAGTCTTGTGTTAACCACCTGAGCGAGTGGATGTGTGGTAAACGAAGTTCAGGAATGCCGTTTGCTGTACCAATGATATGGCGTGAACCTAAAGACCACAGTAGTGACTGCTACTTCTGTCTCACAAATATTAAGGGAATAAAAATCAAGACACGAGGCAAGGTACAGTACCCCAATATTGCTTCTGCAATCCGACCAGTACCGCACAGTGCTGAACTTCCAGTCCCAAATCCACTGACTGAACAAGAATTGAGTGATTCCGATTCTACCTCTACCTCAATGGAAAACGACTACCAGGATGACTCTGAAAGTACCAGGCCTAAACTATTTACTCAAGAAGCGCTTCATGATCTCATCAGGGACCTAAACTTGTCAAAAGAAAAGGCTGAAGTTTTGGGATCCAGACTAAAGCAGCGTAACCTGCTAGAAGATGGAGTGCATATCACTACAGCACTTTTAGAACTTCATATTTTGTCATTATAAAGGATTTAAACTTATGTTTTTTGGTACAATTTTTTATGAGCTTATCTGTGATAGGTTTAAAATTGTATCTTGCATGACGCGATAATGTTACTATATTTACTATTTTTTTATTCTTTAAGAAAGTAGGTCTGATGGTAGAATGAAACATCCAATTAATATTCATTAATATGAAATTAGTCATGAAAGCACAGTCACATGAGACAATCTCATCTTTTGAACGACACGTGATGGAATATTAAATATTTGTACCTATTGATTTTTTTATAAAACCTGGTCTGATAGAACAAAACAAATATCAGATTCGAATTCAGCAATATGAAATTAGTTGTGTGAGCATGATCTCATATGTGAACCATTTATTATTATTATTATTATTGTTGTTGTTGTTGTTGTTGCTACTACAGTGTTATTATTACTATTATTATTATTATTATTATTATTATTATTATTATTATTATTACCGTATAAACAAAAGTAATTATTAACCTAGATAAGTTATCAATATATTTAATATACGTAAGCCAAACAGGAAGACAACACCTGAGTTATCATTAGTGGTGAGGTGGTCACAGGTACAGCCAGATAGAACCTTTATCAGTTACCTTATCACCTATAGGTACACACTACTCACCTGGACCTCTCTCTCTGCCTTAGTCTTCTGTTCAAATTAAATCGATTTTTCCCTCTATTGCAGAAAGTGTCGTACAGAAAGTAATAGTAGTAATTATTCTGTTACTATCATTAGTAATATTAGTTGTAGTACCAATTATTCTGTTACCAATAATAGTAGTAGTAGTAGTATGCTGATGACCTAACAGGAGCAGGAAATGTGGAGGACATCAAAAAGTGGTGGGACCTGGTAACATCAAATGGTCCACAAATAGGGTACCACCCAAACGCCAGCAAGTCCTTCCTCAATGTGAAGTCAGAACATTATGAACGGGCAATGGAGGTGTTCGGTGGAAGTGAGGTCAAAATAACAAAGGATGACCAAAGACACCTAGGTGCAGTAATCGGCACGAAGGACTTCAAGACCAAGTACGTAACGGGAAAGGTGAATGGGTGGGTGAAGGAAATCCAAGCTCTGTCTGAGGCTGCTAAAACTGAGCCACATGCAGCATTTGCGGCATTCACCCCTGGAGTCAAGCATCGCTGGAATTACCTGATGCGCACTATCCCTGATATCAGACCCCCCTCTGCCCTCTAGAAGAACCCATCAAGGTCACTTTCATCCTAACACTAGTAAAAAAAAAACATTATTTAACCCTACATTAACACCGAGACTTGGAGGAATGGGATTAACTAATCCAGAGGAGCTTGCCGCCACAGAACATCAGAACTCTGTCAAGCTCACGGCAGCCCTCACTGAGCACTTAACTCAGAATGCAGCGTCAGGTGGATACCAACGAATTAAACAAGATTCGACGGTCCATTACGACAGAACGGCAGCACGGCCAAAGTGATAAACTTCAACAACTGATGATGCAAGTGTCAGTGAACATGTCCAGCGTTATCAGAGCTGGACAAGAATTGATAAGTTTTTTTCCCTGAGTCCATCACTTGTGAAATAAACACCAATAGTGTATGTATGTATGTATGTATGTATGTATGTATGTTTATGTTTGTGCGGTGTATGTGTGTATCAGTGTGTTCGTGTACGTCTCATTGTTTGTATGTCTGTCTATCTCTGTGACTGTCTGTCTGTCAGTGAATGGAAAATCTAATTAAGTTACCTTTTGGTCAAGTTCCCTAAATTAATTTGACTCTGGTTCAAGATGTATGTTGTTGTGACGGACAGACAGGCAGACAGAGTTGACAGAAAGATAGCCAGACAGACAGACCAAAATAGGCTTCGATGATAAAATGGACACACACACACACACATACATACCGACAACATAATGGTACTTACGCACACCATGGAGGAACTCTGAGACGATGTTATCACTCCCGAGGCTGACAATAAACTGAATACTTCTTATATCTGTGCCTGCGTCTACCCCTCAAGATGACACAGTTGCCAAGTTTTGTTTTTGTAGAATAATAATCTTCGTGTAGTTTTTATAACGCAGAGTGCAAGGTGGTATAATTCTGGGTATTAATGATATCAAAGGTTATCATACATCACTACGTCATAACTATATTAATGATGTTTAAACCCTTTGAAGACGATGGTTTAACTCTTTAAGGACGATGGTTTAACTCTTTAAGGACGATGGCTTAACTCTTTAAGGACGATGGCTTAACTCTTTAAGGACGATGGCTTAACTCTTTAAGGACGATGGCTTAACTCTTTAAGGACGATGGCTTAACTCTTTAAGGACGATGGCTTAACTCTTTAAGGACGATGGCTTAACTCTTTAAGGACGATGGCTTAACTCTTTAAGGACGATGGTTTAACTCTTTAAGGACGATGGCTTAACTCTTTACGATGGTTTAACTCTTTATTTTAACTCTTTAAGGACGATGGCTTAACTCTTTAAGGACGATGGCTTAACTCTTTAAGGACGATGGTTTAACTCTTTAAGGACGATGGCTTAACTCTTTAAGGACGATGAAAACTCTTTAAGGATGGTTTAACTCTTTAAGGACGATGGCAACTCTTTAAGGACGATGGCTTAACTCTTTAAGGACGATGGTTTAACTCTTTAAGGACTCTTTGGACGATGGTTTAACTCTTTAAGGACGATCTCTTTAAGGACGATGGTTTAACTCTTTAGGACGATGGCTTAACTCTTTAAGGACGATGGCTTAACTCTTTAAGGACGATGGCAACTCTTTAAGGACGATGGCTTTAAGGACGATGGCTTAACTCTTTAAGGACGATGGTTTAACTCTTTAAGGACGATGGCTTAACTCTTTAAGGACGATGGCTTAACTCTTTAAGGACGATGGCTTAACTCCTTTATTCGTCGTCAAGGGATTCACTTTTCATATATGTTCACTCAATGGCTGTTATGTTATCATATAAGTTTAGGTTAATTCTTCAATATATTTTGTATTGTTTCATTGTTATTTGTTTATTGTTTAATAATCTTATTATATCAGTTGAAGAGATTACAGTCAGACTGTCTGTCTGACAGTCTGTTATTATCTATCTATCTATCTATCTATCTATCTATCTATCTACCTATCTACCTATCTATCTATCTATCTATCTATCTACCTACCTATCTACCTATCTACCTATCTATCTATCTATCTATCTACCTATCTACCTGTCTATCTATCTATTCCAGTCACTGTTACTCAGTATGTTTACATAGTGACCATCAGGACCTAAGACTGTCTCCTTCGCCTGTAGTCTTCGCTTACACTGGCTAATCCTTCGCCTGGCAATGTTCCTCGGCGTTGAAGTGCCTGGCGAACTCCTGCTGTTGTTTTTGTTTCCACTGGCTTTGTTTCTCCCAGAATGCCTTCTTGTTGGCGTTAAGTTTGATGAAGCCGTCCCAAGCCAACTGCACGAAGCCGCCGCGGTGAGCTATTTTGGCCTTTACCCTGTTGGAAGAGAGAGAGGAGAGAGAGAGATACTTGAAGAAGGAGGTGAGAGATAAGAACCTGGAGGAAGAGGAGAGAGAGAGATAAGAAGAGTGAGACTGAGAGATAAGGAGAAAAAAAGAGGGCGGGGGCAACAAACTCACACACACACACACACACACACACACACACACACACACAGACACACACAGACACACACACTTACCTGTTAGCAAAGGCGACAGGTGACTCATTAGTGCCTCTGGTCATGGGCGGGAGGTACCACACGTCACACACGATGGCCCACGACGTCATCATACTGAAGATGTACTCTACGAAGGTGTCTTGGTACCAGAAGGCGTCACCGTAGCGAGGGTCAAACCGGATGGCGATGGGGTAGATGATAGTGTCGATCTGGGGGGAAGGCGGGGGGGGGGAAGAGAGTGATGAGTGTCGATTTGGAGAGGTACGGGGTTAGGTTGGGTTAGGTTTGGTTAGGTTAGGTTAGGTTAGGTTGGATTGGGTTAAGTTATATTAGATTGGATTAGGTTAGATTATATTAAATTAGATTAGTTTAAGCTATATTACATTAGCTTAGGTTTAGATTAGGTTAGGTAAAAGATAACATCATTTAAACCACAATTATAAACACTACAGGGTGATGGCCCCGTCAACACACCTCAAAGGAACCCTTCTTGAACTGTAGAACGGCCGTGTTGTTGACGCAGGTGCCCTCAGGGAAGATGAGGATGGGGGGGAGAGTGGGGTCTTGGGCGTGTTCCTGTAGCCTGTAGGGGGTGTAGTGGTGATATTAATGATGTAGAAGAAGGAAGAGGAGACGAAGAAGAGATGAGGAAGAAGAACAAAAGAGAATGAAGAAGAAGGAAGGGAGGAGAAGAAAAGAAAAGGAGACGAAGAACAAAAGAGAAAGAAGAAGAGGGAATGAGAAGAGGAGAAGAAAAGAAGAAGAAAGAAGGAGATGAGAAAAGGAAGAAAAGAAGAGGAAGAAGAACAAAAGAAACATAAAAATTTTCACCAGTAACCTTTCAACACTCCAACAGTCCCCCACCATTTCAACAGTCACCATCACCCCTCCAAGTCTCCACTACCATCCAACAGTCTCCCTTCACCCTTCAACAGTCCCCACCATCCTCCAACAGTACCCACCATCCTCCAACAGCCCCCACCATCCTCCAACAGCCCCCACCATCCTCCAACAGTCCCCACCACCCTCCAACAGTCCCCTTTCATCCTCCAACAGTCTCCACCATCCTCAACAGTCCCACCATCCTCCAACAGTCCCCACCATCCTCCAACAGTCCCCCACCCTCCAACAGCCCCACCATCCTCCAACAGTCCCCACCACCTCCAACAGTCCCTTTCGTCCTCCAACAGTCCCCACCACCTCCAACAGCCCCCATCCTCCAACAATCCCCACCACCCTCCTTAGTCCTCCCTCCACCACCCCTCCAACAGTCCCCTTTCGTCCTCACAACCCACCACCCTCAACAGCCCCCACCATCGTCCAACAGTCCCTTTCATCCTCCAACATCCCCCACCATCCTCCAAGCCCCCACCATCCTCCAACAGTCCCCACCACCCCAACAGTCCCCTTTCATCCTCCAACAGTCCCCCACCACCCTCCAGCTAAGCAACACCCACTTCTGGACAGCCTGGGACCTCTCCTTGGCTGCGGTCCTCTCAAACCAGATGTGAGAGGAGGACCTGGAGAGGGCGTGCATGAAGACCCCGAGGATGCCGCTGGCCTTCTGACCTACCTGTGGGGAGAGGAGGGGGTATTGTTATTGTCTGGTGGTGGTGGTGGTAGGAGTGGTGGTGGTGGTGGTAGTAGTGGTAGGAGTGGTGGTGTAGTGTGGGAGTGGTGGTGGTCAGGGAGTGGTGAGTGGTAATGTGGTATTAGTAATTGGTAGGGTGGTGTGGGCAGTGTGTGTGTGTGTGTGGTGGTGGGGTGGTGGTGGTGTGATGATTGGTGGTCGGATGCCAGTGGTGGAGTGTGGTGGTGGTGGTGGTGGTGTGGTGGTGTGCAGGGGTGTGGTGTGGTGGTGGTGTAGTGGTGGGTGGTGGTGGTGGTGGTGGTGGTGGTGTGGTGGTACAGGGTGTGGTGGTGGTGGTGGTGGGGTGGTGGTGTGTGTGTGTGGTGGTGGGGTGGTTGGTGGTGGTGGTGGTGGTGGTGGGGAGTGGTGGTGGTGGAGCAGTGGTGGAAGGAGTGGTGGTGGTGGTAGGGTAGTGGTGGTGAGGTGGCGGTGGGTGTGGTGGTAGGGTGGTGGTGGTGTGGTGTAGTGTGTGCAGGTGGTGTGGTGGTGGTGTGTGTAGTGTGGTAGGAGTGGTGGTGGTGGTGGTGTAGTGGTAGGAGTGGTGGTGGTGGTGGTAGGAGTGGTGGTGGTGGTGGTGGTGTGTGTGGGGTGGTGGTGGTGGTGTGTGTGAGTGGTGGGAGTGGTGGTGGTGTGGTGGTGTGGTAGGTAGGAGTGGGTGTGGTGGGCATGATGTGTGGGTGGAGGCCACGTTTATCTAAAAAAAAAAAAAAAGTAGTAGTATGGGTCAACTGAAGATTAACCACACCTAACACTACCTGGTAAAAGTTAGATTAGATTAGTTTAACTTTAGGTTAGGTTAGGTTAGTATTAGGCTGGTTAATACTGTAGGTTAGGTTAGTATTAGGCTGGTTAATACTGTATAAGGTTAGGTTAGTATTAGGCTGGTTAATACTGTATAAGGTTAGGTTAGTATTAGGCTGGTTAATACTGTATAAGGTTAGGTTAGTATTAGGCTGGTTAATACTGTATAAGGTTAGGTTAGTATTAGGCTGGTTAATACTGTATAAGGTTAGGTTAGTATTAGGCTGGTTAATACTGTATAAGGTTAGGTTAGTATTAGGCTGGTTAATACTGTATAAGGTTAGGTTAGTATTAGGCTGGTTAATCTTGCGTGAAATAAGTTGAGGGCTAATCTTCAAGTGAAAGTAAAAAGTAAAAGGTAATAGCTTTCCCTGGGCTTGCCTTCAGTGAATCAAGTTACTACTTATCATTGTTTGAATACTTATACTTTCTCTATACACCAATGATGAATTATTATGTACTTATATGACGCTTTTACTGAATAAATATCAATATGGTGTTGTATAAGCTGACCTGTGAGCTGATAATTGTTACTGCTACCACTGTCCCTACTACTACCACCACCACCGCTCACAGGACCTACCATATCATAACACTGGTCGGTGGCTAAGACCATAGAGTCGATGGGTGAAGTGTGGTTGGCTACAGCTATCCCGTGAGTCGGTCGGTTCTCTGTATCGTGGAACCTGTCGGGATAAATTCTGGGTATTAGTGAAATAATTCTGAACTTAGTTACCTCTGTATGTCTCTGAAGAGGGGGCCTAACTTGATGCACATTCAACGAAAACGTAACTATTGAAGGGATAACTTACCTAAATAGATAAGACTAAGGTTGCATTTTATATCATTTTTATTTACAGTTTCATCACTTACCGGTTCACTAGCAATTGAGCAGTTGGTCTGTTGTGGTGAAACTCAACATTTAATTCTATCAACCCCTCACAATAGATATTATCTGGCAACACTGACATGATACTGACAATGTTGATACAGTAACCTGATAATGCTGACACAACCTGACAATGTTGAGTATATCACCTGAAACGAAGGAGCTACCTGACGAAGTGATGATGATACTGACGATAGCAACATTACCTGGCGACGACGGAGAGGGACCCAGCCACGAAGTCGAAGCACCAAGTGACGACCCAGGCGTTAAGACGTCGCTTGAATTTGCTCTCCGGCAGAAGCCCGACGGCGATGCAGAGTACGACGAGGGTGGAGATGCTAAGGATAAGGACGAGGACCCGCATGGGGAAGAGGAAGACGTGGCGGATGATGACTCCCACCAGCCAGAATACCGTCAGGGAGGGAGTCAGTCTCAGGTGGAGCTGTTGCTTCGTTCTGTGGGACCACGCGAGGTTATTAGACCATGGACGGTGTGGTGGAGGTCATAAAATGGTGTGAACATGTCTCAAAGCGTAACACTCACCTGGAGGATAATTAAAGGTGTGCTGAACCTTCACACTCACCTGGAGGTATAATTAAAGGTGTGCTGAACCCCCACACTCACCTGGAGGAAAATTAAAGGTGTGCTGAACCCTCACACTCACCTGGAGGATAATTAAAGGTGTGCTGAACCCCCACACTCACCTGGAGGTATAATTAAAGGTGTGCTGAACCCTCACACTCACCTGGAGGATAATTAAAGGTGTGCTGAACCCTCACACTCACCTCCAGGAAAATTAAAGGTGTGCTGAACCCTCACACTCACCTGGAGGGTAATTAAAGGTGTGCTGAACCCTCACACTCACCTGGACATCATGTTCCAGGTGCGTAGCTCGGCAGGGGAGAAGCTCTGACTCACACAGTCCTGGACGACGGCTCTCATGCCCGCCGCCATGTACGCCATCGGGTCCTGGAACCTGAAGGAGCCGCTGGGGGAGTCCACACCACCTGCCCGTGGCGCCTCAGGGCAGATCACCACACTGGGGACAGCAAGGACACGGTGAGAGAGAGAGAGAATTTTACTTTTCTTCCATTCTCAGTCATATTGTCAAGTGACTCAAAATTGTGTATACCTCTACACACACACACACACACACACACACACGACAAAAGTACCGTAGAAAGCAACTCTGCAACTCTTCGTCCTCGAGGTAAATAAACAACCAGAAAAATATCCTCACCTCTCATCTTCTCCCTCCTCCTCCTCTACTCACCCATCCTCCTCTTCCTCCCCCTCTTCCTCCTCCTCCTCTAGCTGCACCTCCTCCGCCAGCTCGACGGCAGCAAACTGGAAGACACGATCCAGCACCTCCACATATTTCCTCCTCAGGCTCAGTCGTCGCCCCACCGTCGCCACCAAGAGGAGGCAGAAGAAAGCGATGCGCTGCCCCCAGATGACGTAGGGCAGAAGGACATCCCACACACCCAGGGATAGGAGGAAGGACTCGTATGTCGCTCGTAGGATACCCCAACTCCATTCCATCTTGTCCTGACCTGTGGGGGATTAATACTCTATATGATACCTGCATCATCAGCTGTGTGTGTGTGGTTAGGTAGGGTTAGGTTAGATTGTGTTAGGTTAGGTTAGGTTTGGTTCTATTAGCTTCGGTTTAGTTATGTTAGATTAAATTAGAAAAAAATTAAATTAGCAAAATGAGATTACCATAATGACTAGACTTAACCCTGATTGTAAAGAGTTATATATTAAGATGTGGACATATCTCTTCTGTGACCTTGTGTATGGGAAGGTTTGTGGAGGCAAGATAGTGAGTGAGTTTAGCCATTCACCGAGACACTTGTGTTATGATTTAATGTTTATATTGTTTTCATTTATTTTTACTTATATTTCATTAAGAGTCTTTATAATATTTGTTTGGTGTAATAGATTAGTGGATAATTATCGTGTGTTTTATCGCCACCTGATGACATTGTTCCTCTCCTTGTCTACATGTCGATTATTATTTTTGTTTATTAGTATTTTATATTCTGATTTACTTAGATTATGCCTTAAGACATTTTAATGGTTACTATTAATCTGTTGCTTTATTAATTCATTTATATTATGGTTCCTGTGTATGTTTTATTAGGGGAGAAGTTAACCTTAATGTATATGTAGTAATTTAGATCAACTTACCCTCAAGTAAATCCTAACCAGGCTAGCGTCCCTGTTGCGTTGCCCGTGAATGCGCTGCCTGGTATCTCCTGCAGTTCCCTGGAGGACACTAGCGAGTCACGAGATCTGCTGTGTTAGAGTAACACTGCTGCCTTCCTCGTCTTATCACTGGAGGTTACAAGATTATGGTGGAGATAACCTCTCAACTGAACTATTAATGCGTATCACACAAACCAGCATCACAGATTCTAAAGGAATGTTGTGTAACGGATTTTTTTTGTTACCATTTACAAAGTGGGTATTTGCACCTTGTTCACAATTGGTCGAGGCGTTTCACCAAGCGGCAGAAGAGGCTATCCCAAAAACAAAACCCACATCAAGACAGTACAATGATTACTGGTACTACTGTCCCAGGGTGAAAGAACTCAACCACAGAGTGAACATGGCCCGAAGAAACTACAGGAGACATCCCACGGAAACAAACAGACATCTCCTGCAAGTCATAGTTAAGGATACCAGGGAAGAGAAGGAAGAAATAAAAAACGTAAGCTGGCTCAAGTGGTGCTCCGAACTGAACGAGCACACCTCCCTTGGCACGATGTGGGCCCAGATCCGAAGGGCATCTGGGAAGGCAACACCACCACCACCAACCCATCCCAACCCAGAAGAGGAAGCCGAGAGACTTGCAAAACTGTTCTCTGATCCAGCAGCAACGAAAAACCTCCCGAGACAGGCGGAGGAGACACAACGGCGTCTGCGACAGGTCAGACTCCAGATGATCGAAGAGGCCTGCAACAGTGAAGATGACACCGACAGACCTTTCAACCAGCAAGAACTCCAGAAGTCGCTAAAACGAAGCAAGGACACAGCTCCAGGGGCCGACAGGATAACCTACTCCATGCTTTCCCACGCCGATAAAGCCGGACACGAGGCTCTGCTACAAGTCATCAATGCTTCGTGGACAGTACAAAGACTCCCACCGGAATGGAAGAAGGCAGATATACAGCCCATTCCGAAGCCCAGAGAACCAGACAAACCGAGGCCCATCTCCCTTCTCAGCTGCATAGCGAAGACAGGAGAAAGAATGGCTCTCAACCGACTCAAGTGGAAAGTAGGCAGCCCACACCCTCACATCTTTGCTTACACCGAGAACACCGGCACAGGCAACAACATCGCCGAGATACTCAGCACAGTGGACTACAAACCAGCTCTGGTGGTCTTCCTCGACCTGGAGAAGGCCTTCGAACTAGCAAATCCACTGGCCATTACAACGACGCTCGCTGAAAAAGGCGTCAAAGGAAGGTTGCTGGGGTGGATCCAGAACTACCTCACACAGAGAGAAGCAAGAGTACGCTTTCAGGGAGCAACCTCAAGCTACAAGGTCCATGAAAACGGAACCCCACAAGGAGGCATCCTCAGTCCAATGCTGTTCAATGTCCTGATGGAAAATCTTGTCAAACTTCCTTTCAGACAAACAGCCAAGCTCCTATGCTATGCAGACGACTTACAGCTTATAGTAAGAGGATCAAACAGACTAGCCAACACGCAACACGCACTCCAACGTATAGAAGAGGAGTGCAACAGACTTGGACTCAAGATAAATCCAGCCAAGTCGAAAGCGATGGCCATCTGCACAGACACACCAGACATGATGCTCTCCATACAAAACACGCCGGTAGTCTGGACCAACACCCACCAGTGTCTTGGAATCTGGTTTGACCAGAAACTCACTTTCAAGCCGCAACTCGAGTATCTCAGGCACAGGACGAAGAGCAGACGCAATATAATGAGGTCGCTCACCAGCACAACCGCAGGAGCAAACCTTCATGTGCTCAAAGCCTACTACACGGCCGCCATCAGATCGCTGGTAGATTACAGTGCTCCAGCGCTCATTGGACTGAGAGAAGACCAGATAGCTAAGCTAGAAGTCATCCAAAATAATGCTCTCAGGACCATGCTCGGAGCACCCATGTGGACCAGAATTTGCAATTTGCAAATGGAAACTGAACTACCACCCCTGGCAGTACGAGTCAAGCAGGTGACAGCCGGTCTCCTCGCCAAAATCTGTAGATCAGATAAGCCCACAGCTGCCAAAATTCGAATCAGTGCCTCCCTCCACCTCGACCACAGAGTGCGAGGGGCCACCTGGTCGCACGAGGCAAGCGAGGTCATCCGACACCTGCAAGCAGAAACACTCGTCAAGAACAACCAAGACACACGAGACAATGGTTACGTAGTTCCTCCACCATGGAGCCCTCCACCAGCCACATTCAAAATTACCGACCTAGGCGATAGTAAAGCCAACCTCCAGAAGGAGGACCTCAAAAAAATAACTCTGGAAGCCATAGCAACCGAGACACCGGCTGATGCAGCATCATACTTCACAAACGGCTCGGTGGATCCAAAACATCATACATCCGGAGCGGCCTTCTACACCCAAGGTCAGACCCTCCGATGGAGACTTTCTAATGACTGCTCCACCCTACAAACAGAGTTGGTAGCAATCTCAAAGGCCCTACAACACGCTGCAACACAACACAACAAGTCCATCATAATTCACACTGACTCGAAATCGGCCATACAGGCGCTGCAACACAGTCAACCAAGAGACAACGTCCACATCATAACCTCGATCCTCGCACAGCTACAGGAATTCCAAAGACAAAACCGCCCAGTCGTCTTACACTGGATTCCCAGTCATGTAGGGATCGGAGGAAACGGCGTGGCAGACGAAGCAGCCAAGGCAGCTACACGTTCTAGTAGCGTACACATTCAAGTTCCAGCAAGCGTGCAACAGATCAAGAATCACCTCAGAAAGACTAGCAAGCTCCACATCAAAAAGAGCTTCCTTCACGCATTCAACGCTGGTTCCCAATCAGCCAAATGGTACCTGGCGGCTACAAAAGGGGAACCACCTTTCGCGGACAAGAAAACACCAAGACAAACCCAAGTCAGCCTTCATCGACTACGACTAGGGTACAAGTGCTCCTGGCAGATGATCGGAAATGACGTCATGGAATGCACCTACTGTCAGGAGCCAGCAGCCAACCCACTTGAACACTATCTCCTCGACTGCGAAGTCACACAAAGCCTCCGAAACAGAACTCAAATCTCCCAAGAAGCACACACAACACCAGCGACCACTCTAACCCGAAAGGCCCAAACAAACCACATTCACGACCTTCTCCGGGTCATCACACGATACCCACCACCCAGATAGCTTAGAAAGTATCCTCTCCCAGCAAGTGCGGACCCCAGTTCGGGGGGCGCGCCACTCAGAAACTGGGGGTAAGCGTCCACTGATCGGGGGTCCGCTCACACTTGCAACCTGCAGTATCCTTCCAAATCTGCAGGTAGGACCACCTCCAATCCCAATCCGGTCTGGCTGCTCCAGGAGCTCCAGTCCGAACCACCAAACGGGCCGCCTATAGGCAAAGGCCCGTGTCGGACTACGGTCCGACAATCTCAACAACACAACAACAGCCAGGGAGACCATTCTACACTCGGCTACTGGACCAGCAACATCTCTCACAGCTCCTCACCACTCAGCTTCCTCAGAAACCTCCTCGCCCTACAGGACCTGTGAGCAAGTTTCTCCTCACCTAGTCACTCCAAGCACTGCGCTGTACAACAATATATATACAGAAAGCACATTGTGAGTTTCTATCCTACCTCATTCCTGAGTGTGAGATATCTACATGTACGTACGTTTGTGTGCCCATACTAAGAGAATTGACAACTGGCCACATACAGTACGCTACACCATGACTGTAGCGATCACTGAATGAGGTCATGAGATGCTCCTACCCGTTTGTGACCTGTAGCTGACCTTTATGACGTGCTTGTTCTACTGTCAAGAATTGCCATAGGTGGATACCCTGCTTTCTCTTCAACGACCTTATTTAGCGGACATTTTCAAGGAGGTTTTGCTGTGCAAATAACACTCATTTCGTATGCGAGTTTTGATAGTTTGTTCACTAACTTCAAATAGAAAACCTTGGCAGTGTTAATATAATGTCACCATACAGTGTTGAGATGAGATAAACAACAAACAGACTTCACAACCCGAGGGGAGATTCACAAAATTAGATGAATTGTGATTCACTAACACTGATTAGACTGACAAAACCAGTAATAGATATTTCCATGTTCCTTGTATCCAACATTCTGCCGGGCAACACATACCGGGATAATAATGGGTACTGTATCAGGTCATGCAAATAAGAACATATTTGTTTTATCTTTTAATTGTGTTTTGTTCTTTATTTATAATTTAATCTTCGTGATAAAATTAAATAGGTTTCCTTTGTTTTATTTTTATTGGTGTAATTATCTCTGAACGTTAAAACAAAAGTTGTTACTGTGTTAGTGTTTTGTATGTCATTTGTTTCCTTTTCCGTCTATTTAACGAGTAGTGAACAGAGCAAATTGGGCAGATCATTACCAGTTTAAAAGAACCGTACAGTACATTCCTGGTCGAGTGAAAATATCGTCTGTGGAGTCAGGGCCGGATTTACCTACTAGTGGGCCCCAGGCCAAACTCATCAGTGGGCCCCCAAATTTATAGAAATGTTTGTATGTTTCAATAATCAAAAAAAAAAAAAAATATATATATATATATATATATATATATATATATATATATATATATATATATATATATATATATATATATATATATATATATATATATATATAGATATTTAGGGGTTATCAGCATATACCTAGATCATGCGCACCTACAGTTTTTAGTTTAACAAATTTATTGGCAGAGCTTGTAGTACAGTTTGCCTATTCTGAGTAATTCAGTCAGGTCTTGACACTGAGGGTGGTATCACTTCTCACTGTCACGCAGGACAGAGGTTCACACACAAAGAAATACATCATATTCATTAACAACTATAAATGTATATAGGTCAGGTTCATATAGATAATGTCACTGTTCACTGCCATGCAGGACAGAGGTTCGTACAGAAAGAGTTGCATCATATTCATTGACAGTACATATACATATATGTAAACACACACACACACACACACACATATACATACATATACGTATATACATACACATATACATGTACACGTGCATATACATGCACACACGCACACATACATACATATACGTCGGTCAGATT